AAAAGAAAAGAAAAGAAAAGAAAAGAAAAGAAAAGAAAAGAAAAGAAAAGAAAAGAAAAGAAAAGAAAAGAAAAGAAAAGAAAAGAAAAGAAAAGAAAAGAAAAGGAAGATCACATAAAGAAAAAAATGTAAGTGGCCTGATAACAGTATCCCTTAAATTAATACTGAATAATTGGAAATGATAATTTGTAAGTGACATTTCCTGCATGGTTAACCATGGTATAGGCTTTATTGTTACATTGTTAAAAATGAATAAGTTGCTGCAAAACTGCTAATAGCATTTGTAGCTATTGAAGATAAGGCAGCAGTAAGGGGTAATCAAACCACATTCTACCAAGTATAAAATGACTATGTAAAATGACATCTGTAAATCAAAGCTTAATTAGCCTGATGTAATTTACAATAACTGGCCAGCCCAAGTTTTCCTCAGGCGAGCTGCCCTGACAGAGCCAGCTGATGGCACAGTCAGGTGGGACATTCTGGCTGTAGCTGAGGTACGAGGCTGTTGCTGCTCACCCCTCAGGTGACTATCCCTCTGCAAATGCTTGTGGCACCTTCAGATCTGCTGATATAAACGCTCATGTCATCGCTCCCTTACTCTGGTATCTGCCCATAATATCTGGGTTTGAAAAGCTTGTGTGAAAAAAAAGATAAAATTAGGCTAAGCTAGAACCTTTTGGAAGAGTCTCAGATCAGGAGGTCTGCACACGTGGTGTGGGACTCTCATCTTGGGTTGGGTGCTGTAGATGTGGAGGGTGCACAGATGAGAAGCACTGAAAGGATTAGAGGCTTGGGGAAAATGCCTAATGGTGTAAGAAATGAAGAACTTGATTTATTTAGCCTGTATGAAAGAAGACTGAGAAAAGCTTTGATTACACTGCATAATAGAGAAAATGCAAGATACGAAAGGGCAGTTTAATCTGTCAGAAAGCAGATAACAAGAATCATGGATATGAAAGCTAGACGTGTTCATCTTAGAAATAAGGCACATATCTTTTTAACAATGAGGCTGATTAACAAACTACAGAAAGGAATGATAGAGTTTCCATTTCCTGATGTGTGCTACTTAATTTAAATTGAGTCACCTTCCAGGGAGAAATGTGTTAGTCCAACACAAGTTACTGGACTAGATACAAGCCTGACTGGATGACATGGAACAGAAATTCAAAGCAGAAGATTCACTTTTTAATAATAGCTTTGAAACATAAGAATTAAAAAACACTATCCTGTGCTTACTACTGAAAACTTAGTTCTAAAAAAGCTGGTACAAATCCATTTAATCTCATCTCACCACATCTCATTTTATCTTCTCTCATCTTTCATTGCATTAGGATAAAAATATATGATTCCAGCAGGTAATCCAAGTTTCTCTCTCCTACTTTATAGCTATACAACTGGAAGTGTTGTTATTATTATCGCCATTAAGGTTTAAGCATATGTTTAATGTGCACTTAAACACTTTTTTCAACTTGCGGCCTTAATCGTCGTAGTGTAATAAGAAGTGAATCATTACAGTGTGGCAGATTAATTCTCAGAGCTTCTGCACCTTAGGCAGTGATGCCATTAATTCATATAACCCAAGTAGCATTGGGCCTGTCAGGTATCTGGAAGGGAGACCTCCAATGCAAACATATGCTGTGGAAATTAACTTTTGGTGAGGCTACTCGTGTGCCTACTAAATATGTGTATTGCATTTAAAAACAGAGATAGAGAGTAAGCTAACAAGAAGGTAATAGGTGCAGTTGGAACTGACATAGGATGTTGGTGCGAAATGAGAGAAGGCATGTAAGAAAATGCAAAGGTATGAATCAGATTTCAAATGAACATGCAATGTAAGTGCATCTTTCCATAAACTCTTCAATCCCTGTCATTTTTTCCATCTTCTAAATACTGCAGAAATTGTTTTCCATCTGTACCTATCAAATTCACTCCATGAAAATTACTTCTTCTGAACCATCTACAGTCCAAAAAAATCTCTGAAAGTTTTCAGAATGATCAAAAAATGTCTCCACCCGTTACCATTAGCCACTTACTATATAATTGGGCAATGACAGAAAGGGCACATTTGAAATGTCTGTATGATCACGCTTGTACTATCAACATGCAACTAATCTGGGGAAAGACTTGCTACCAAAAAGTGCCAAGTGCAGGGTTTAACAACATTATAAAATAAATAACTTGACCTGAGCAAAGCAAAAGAAGGCTCCGTGGATTTAGTGTCCTAGGCATGTTCCCTAATACATTATAAAGTGCAAATGTTGGTCAAATCTTTGTCACATTTGGACTTCTATGAAGTTTTCCTTCTGTGCAGATTTCCTGGCATCCTTCATTCAGTGGTGACTCTCTTCTACTTTCAAGCTTTTCTTACAGTTAAACTTTTCAGGACTTAACAACTTGGTATCTCTGTTTCTCTGTCAAACATACTTGAAATTGGCCTAGACTCAGAAGTTCTCACTGTGGAACAGGTAGAGAGATGCAGTGTCACAGACAGTGTCATGTCATATACTTTGTCCCCTCAGGAAACCATATTAAAAAAGGGATTGACTATTTACACAGATACCAAGGATAACAATACAAACCATAATTAAAGACAATAAAACTATTGGAAGGTATATTAAACCTTGTACTTCAGGGCTTAAGCTAAAGTCTAGCTGTTAGAGAGGATTATAGCTCTATATTAGAGGAAATAATTGATTTTTTGGGTCACTACACATTCGCTACCAAAAAAAAAGCATAAAGAATGCATCAGTTTATTTTTCTTCTCCCTGTTCTTGACTTTTTTCCCCGACTAGAATGATTTGACAATAGTAACTGGAGTTTCCCAAAGTCATTTGTGAGTCTGAACTTATTCTTTTGTGTAGTCAAAAGATTTAATAAAGAATTGTTTCTTCCATCTTTCACTAAGAAAGGAAGCAAGGTGGGAGCCACAGAACACTTAACTGGTGGCTGCTGTGAAGCTTTTTATTTCATCCTTGTGGTGTCCCGATCTTCTGGCTTGGGATTTGGCTGAAGAGGGACACCAGGCTAGATGGACTGGGGTCTGGTGCAGGCAGATAATGTCCATGGCCTTATGTAGGACTACGTAGTCTGGAGCCCTTCCTTATCTATAATAACTGATAGCCTGTTTGATCGAGATGTGACCATTTTTCTCCACTGACTGTAGAGGAATGAAGATCTGAGAGCTTTGGTGGTAGGTGGTCTGAAGTGCTCAACAGTCTCTAGACCTTACATCCCATAAGAGGTGAGATACTTAAATGAGGCCCTTGTGATGGGCAGTGTCAATATGACTTTATGTGTCTACAACTTGAAGTAAACTCCTTCAGGGTTAGGGGTACGCTTGCTGGAGGGAAAATTCTTGCTGCTGTGGCAACATCTCTTTGGCAGTCTGCCAACGTCTCCTTCTCCTGAGATTAAGGGTCCTGTGACAACTGTTTTCTTATTTGCAATTGCATTTGATTTAATAATTTTAGTTGGAAGTGGCTGTGAGTTCTGCTAAGAAAGTATTATGGGAGATTGGTGTTGGGTTTGCTTTGGAACCTTTCTTTAGCAGGATATCTTCTCAAGCCAAGGCAGAGGCATGCACAGGAACCCAGCTGGGCGTCAAATGATGCCATTGGCTACGGAAAGCCACGAAGCACTGGCAGTATCTTGCTCCAGCCAGGGGAAAATTCCTCCTTCTCACTGGGTCTCCCTGACCTGCCCCTATCATTACCTTGATGCAGTCATGCTCCTCTTGCTGCTCCAGATAGCATGGGACTGTGCCACAATCTTCCGTCTTCTTGTGCCTCATCTTCCTCTCTAGGAAATGGGGCTAAAATGTCCTAATGTCATAGAGACTGTGAGGCACCTGGGATTGGATCTGTACAAATGCCAACTCGTATTGAACTTCAGGTACGAGTGACGCAGTGTCAGCAGGGTTAGATGCTTTCCGTATCCTTAAGGCTCTGAGCTTAGCTGTACTGTGAGGCAGTAAGAGAAGTGTTAGAGTTTGCAGAATACCATTTAGGCAGGTGCTGGTGTATCAGAGCAGGTAAGAGGAAACCTCAGTTGGGGGAACCCAAATGGCTCAGCTGTCTCATGGGCCAAGTGCCTACTTTGAGGCTTTGGAGCATTCCTGTAGGTCAGGTGTTTAGGATTTGTGCTTTTCGAGCAGGAATTTTCTGAATCCCACCTTCCCCTCCTATCTCCAGGAGTGTGGTGCACAGCACACTGACTGCCCAGGGTAATACTTGTGGCCGTGGATTTATCCCAGTCTGACAGTTGTACTCCAGCATAGCGCTTAGTGGTCAGTTCCTGTCTGCTGCCTCCTTATCTGAGACAGCTTCCACACAGCTGCGGGCCTTGCAGCTATCCCAGAGTCTCCCTTTGGCCCTGCTTCTCCTGGAAGAAGCTTGTACATGCCACTGTTAACTACATAGGAGTCAACTTTGACCTGTTCTCTCCCTTGCCTGAAGTGTGAAATGGTTTCCACATCTCCTTCAACCACTATGTTTCTGAGATCTAATTTTTCTCACACTCAGCTCTATGAAGCCAACCTGCAGATCAGGACGGAAAATTCAATGTCCTTTCACTACCCAAGAGGTCTGGCTCCTTTGTCACAACTTCTACCTGGTTGCAGTTCTCAGCAGTAACTTCACCAAGACATGGGAAAGAAGTGTATGGGTCCCGGCAGTGAGCATCGTGTGAATGCAGAACCACTGAGGGTAGCTACAGCCCTGCTTAGGTAACACAGTTAAATGCAGCAAATTTATGGAAATAACTCACTGGACCAAGATACCTGGCCTAAGATGTCACTCTGGCAAGCTGGAGTAGGGTGTCAAGAGACGGAGGGTAACCAATTAAATGCTTGAACAGCCTTTCTTCCTTAACACATCCCTTCCCCAGGGTTTTGCACCAAGTTTGTGGGTAGGTTTATATGTGAAAAATTAAACTTATTTGTCCTTAGCACAAGAAGAATCATATTCCAAGCAACCATAATATGTGTACTTACACAGAAAGCAGCCAAATTGTCCCTGTTGTATTCAGGAGTATTAAACGGACATTTCTTGATGTGCATTGTATCTCTCTTTTTCCACCTCTGAAAAAAAGAAAATTATAAACAACAACAACAAAAATATAAAGGAACAGCCATTGAATAACAACAGGAACAACAAACCAAGAGAGCTGTTGCTGCAGGTTGTGCTTCCTCTTTACCCATCCCTGCTGCACATCTGTCACTAAAGACACTAACAGAGGATTTTGCAGCTCTAACAGTGACTGAGTAAGACAATGCCACCTTCACCCACCACTTTCATTATAGGTGAAGAGTGAGCTATGTACCTCAATCAGATGTTTCCCCTTAGTGTCCAAAATTTGATGGGATGAGTTTGGACACCAGTAGTGTAGTGGCTCACCTGTACAGTTGTGGCAATAATTCCTTCTAGCTGCCCAGTGCGCCTGCACTGTTAAAAACATGTATGACTATGAAAGCCATAATTTAAGAAAACCTATAAGCCATTTCTTCTGCAGAAAAAAGGGTATGTAGGAATACATAGAGTTCATTTAATGTGATGTAGTTCTGAAAGCTTAAGCAGAAGTAACTGCACAGAAATCAATGCGTTCGTTAGTCTCAAACAGGGAGGAAATAGGAAACATCGTCTTCAATAGAAGAAAAATCTCCTTAAATAGAAAAGAGCAGACGACCAGTAATCCCAGTAAATTGATTCCTTGGCATTAGTGATGCTGTATTGACTGATCCCAGCAGAGAATTTGGCCAACACTATGACCGGATCATATTACAGCAAACACTGCTCAGACCGTCTTCATGTAAAACTGGAATATACCTGAGCAAAATAACCAAGATGAACTGCTTGAAGCAGGTTATGGTTTTGTTTGACGATAACAATATGGTTTTATAAAACAGGAGTTCGGGCTCTGGTACTACAGGACTGTGACTGATGCAGAACCAAATCCCTAAGCTGAGGGACACAAGAGGCTTCCCAATATGCTTTCTGCTATGCTTTGGTTTCGTGGCATTTGAAAAGAACAGGAACAAAGTGGAATCGTTTTGCTTCCTCATATTCCATGAATACAGAAGCTCTGAATCTTCACTGTTAAGCTGGAATAAAAAAAACCCAACAAAATCAAAGCCTGAATTTTTGTTTTCTTTTGAGGGGGAGAGATGACAGGACGGTTGGTTTTCATTTGAATATTTGAAATCCAATGGGATCTTTTGGTACAAGAGCTTAATTTGGACTTGATGGGAACCCAGTTTACCAATTTAAGTCACTGTTGGCTAGTACAGCTTGAAGCTGTTCCACAATAAAACACTACATTCAGCCGTGAGCCTTATCGCAAGGACTCATCTGACCTTTCCCAGGTAAGCTGGAATTGCTTAACACTGTGGCTACCCCAAAACTAATAGAACCTTTCAGCACGGCTTAGGCTATCGCTTCACTTCCCTGACATCCATTTCTAAAATAAAATAGAAGGCTAATTGGTAAATCAGGTGAGTATATTTTTCCTCCCCCCCCGAGATATAATGGTCAAATACATTTTCACATCTGAACTACTAACAATACAGAGGTATGACTTAAACACACAAATAAAAGGGGAAGCTCAACAGGAGAATGAAAGTTCAACTAGAATTTACCAGGCCAAATTTATCAGCGTTAGTGGGGGTGGGTCTTAATTGCAATCACCAGGCCTAAAGTGGTGTGGTCAATTTTAATCAACATGGTTAAAAAAGTCAGAGGGAAAATGGTTGTGCAGGACACAGAGCACAACTTCTAGGCTTCTGGCATGCTTAAGTCATTTTTGCTTCATTATACCATGCTATTGTACTGAAATGCTTTTAGAGAAATGCAAGACCACACAGGCTGACTAGAGCATGAATTCTTCAAAAACTACCTGTCGTGTGGTTCTGAAATGGAAGATAGTCGCTAATAGGATGCTTAGCATATTTTTTGTTGGATTTTGAGATGCATCATGAAGAAAAGCTAGAAGGAACAATAGGAGCTGAACAATGGATCCACATGGGTCAAGGGCTGCATAGTGCCCGTTGTTCCTTAGCAGGAGGATTTTGGATAAGGAGCAGCAATGTGATGTGAATGACGGGTGTGAAAAAGGCTCTTCAAGCTCTCAGAGGAAAAGAAGATAAAAAGAAGGGTGAAGGGGTAAGAAAACTAGACTCATAGGTTCAAATATCTGCTGAATGTCCCAAAGACACGAACTCTACACAAACTGTAGAGGATGAATCAAAGCTCAGACTGTAAAGTGTTTCAACAGCCAGTCTGAATGCGTGGAGTCTATCGAAGAGTAAAGAAAGGAGTGAACCCTGAAAGTGTGAAGGGCTTTTGTACATTTTACAGCAGTTGGGACTGTGAGCACCAGCCTTGAAGCACAGTCCCATACTGCCTTTTTGTGCTAAACACAGATGAAAAAAAGGGGAGTTCCTGCCACAAACCACTTCTAATCTCAGTGTAAGGCACAAATATCCTCTAATTGCCACCCACGGCATATGAGGTGGAGAACCTCCTGTCTAAGAGAAGTGCACCCCTTGGTAGTACTGGCATCGCTTGCACGCTCAGCTGGCTGGGTGACGACCCACAGGGACATCCTCTTTTCAGGTCTCCATCAAAGTCACCCTGTTGTAGGAAATGGGAGAAAGCTGGAGGCATCCAGGAGTGTGTGTGACCGCTCACCGGCTGAGGACAGAGTGGCTCGGCAGAAGCAGTCCTCAGGCGTGATCCCCAGGAGTGCTGCATGTGGAGCTTCCTCCAGAGCTTGGCCAGCACGCAGGAATCCGATGTTTAGAAAGCAATTTTCCTGTCCGTATAAACATTTCGACCACAATAGCCCAATTCCTGGCTCCAAGGCCTCATTTAAATGTTGGTCAGTCGAGGCCCACAATTAACATTTAATTAGTAAACTCATTACAAAGGCAGGAAGTCTCAGACTTTCCCTTCATTCTCTTTCAGGCCTCTGAAGGGAAGGACCAGGCCCGTCTTTGGCTTTTGATTCTGCAGATGGGTGTTTTATTTTTTTTTTTTTTGTTCCCTCTCCTTATGTCCCTCTGCTTGCAGAACAGTTGCCTTCCCTGAAGCAGACAGGCATGACCTGAATATGTTGAATGTTTGGCTGGAAGTAATCTACTTAATATACATATATCCATCTGAATTTTGCCCTGGACATCTTCCTCATTGTTCCTGGGGGGCTGAAGGAGCAGCGGTTTTCAGGCGTGAAGTGGTGAGGGGTTTGGTCACATGCACTCATAAGATTTTGTGGTAGAGGAAAAGCCAAAAAATATGATTTTGTATGTGATGCTGGAAGGTTATGTCTATTGTCTCTGGCAGCCAGGAGAAAAGCAGCCTTTTGACAACAAGAAAGGAAAATGGTCAGGGTTAAAATCAGGAGAAAGCACCAACACAGAGGATGAGAGCAGACGATGCCTGTGGTGAGGTACCTTGCTGGAAATGTGTGATGTGTGATGGGACAGCCTTTTTCCCCAGAATGGGAGAGGGACGGGGAGTTCATACTGTAGATACCTGATGGGGCGTTGTTCGTCCATCCATAGGATACAGGACCTCACCTTTGGCCACCTAGTTGCTCTTTGTGTGCTGATTCATGGAATATGAATTACATGTACAGGCTTTTTTTAGACAATGCTAAAGTAGTCTGAACTCACTGATATGAAGTACAACAAGACAGACCATAGCACAAAAGCTTTTCCAACACTTGTACTACTCTATGGAAATTTATTCACCTGATCACGCCGTGGACAGGGAGAAAAGTAAAGAAGTCAATGCAAAA